AAACTTAAAGCCAGAGAACAGGTTAGGATTCTGTTCAAATGGTAGGTACATGAACCTATCCATATCTCAAGACAGGACACAAATCCTTACAACCAGACAACAAAGCCTACAAGAAAATCAGCAATATTTTAGTCGAAAGTCATAAAATTCTATTTCACCAATTCAGTCTCATGTACTTTATCCTCTGTCGTGGTTCGATTTTCCCCCATTAAATTCTGGGTTATAATATTCAACTCCAGACTTGTCCCTATGATTAAGTTGGCTATTTCCCAGCATTGAGTTTTCAGCCGCCAGGTTCAGGACTTGAATTGCAGTTGACTATGTGGGAGTCCAGCAATGTAACCATTACACCATCTGCCGGGTCCTGGTCTCACTTTTTAACGTTAAATCTAGATTCATCATCTCGTGTGCTTTGACTGTAAGATATCTAACTACTGTAGGGTGCTGGCCCTGTAGTATAGCGGTTAAAGGAGACAGACTCCACATATCCAACTGCAGGTTTCAATCTGGCCCCCGTGGCTTGAAAAACATACCAGCCATGTGTCCATGTATGCCTAAAATCCTAATGGGAAGGAGAAGTGGAGAAAAGAGGACTGGCATGACCACGCCCCGTTGGGTTGTGCTTTCCTTCTCTCTTGTCTTGCACTCACACATGTCCATGCCCTCCGGCAACATTTACATTTTAAAAATACTTATTTTTCAGTTTCTAGTATCAGCAATACTAATTGGAGCCATTTTTTAATGTAATTTACCTGGTAAGGTAAATTAGAAATAAGAAATTTTCTAGGGGCAATAGGTGGCATGGTTTTTAGGGTGCTGGACTGCCACATGGCCAACCACAGTTCGAGTCTCAGACCTGGTGGTTTGCTTTTTCACCTTCAATCTCTCTCTCCCCTATAACAATAAATAATTATTTATTATTATGTATTTAATAAGTTAATATTAACTAATAATAAATAAATAATAAAATTCTTCAAGAAAAATAAATAAGGCATGTTCTTGATGAGTCTGAAATGAAGGCAGTAAGTATTTAATACACTCATACAGTTTGGCATTTAACTAGTAGTAAAGGCTGATAAACTATCCTAGACTCACTGAAGTTGGTCCCTACCTGTGAAGACTCAGGAATGTTTATTTATTTGAGTCCCAGCTTATATCTCGGGAAGAGAGGTGAGCAGGCAAAGTAATTATATCTACCAGAAACCATCCTTTTCCCCCCTTAGAAAATGGTACTGGTTAAACACTAACAGATGCTTAGTCTCCTATTCTTTTTCTAGATTCCAGGACTAATCTACCAGGCTTATTATATTTGCATTTACAATCATTATTCTTTCTTATTTTAACAAACTTTCTTAACACGTTATAGACCCCAAGTTACATAGTAATGTTTTAGTTGGCTACTTCCGAATGATACAGAGATACCTATCTTATCAGTTGTTTATCTCCAGAATCACATGGTAGCACAGTAAATTACTTCTGGTACATTTCCAGGTAATCTTGTCTCTTGTTTCTACTATACGTTTCCAAGCTCTTTCCTAAATCTAGAATGTGATTTACTTTGGATTCTGTTTACACTACACTCATAATTCAAGGTTTTTATTCATTTGTACTATTTCTTTATTAAGTTACAAATATAATTAATTTAAACCAGCACATAAAGATTAAAGCCATGTTGGGGCCAACAGGTGATGTGATAAGTTAAGGCACTGGACACTCCCACATAGCTGACCACTGTTCGCGTCCCAGACCTGGTGACTTGTTTCCTCACTTTCCCTATCTCTTTCTGTGTCTCTCTCTGATCAAATTAAAATAATTGAATGAAAAATAAAATTAAATAAATAATTCTTTAAAAAAGAAAGATTAAAGCAGTGTTCCTAATTTAATGGTTATATTTTAAATAACTTATATCTCTAATAGAATGTTAATATAAATATACAAAAAGGGCTTCATATAAGTAAGACTAGGGGAATGTTAAGTGTAAATTAAGGGCCCGTCTCTGTTAAAAGGTTAAGTCTGTTAATAACTGAAAAAGCATATCAAATTTTGTTATGTAAAGCACCATCTTATGGGTATGAAGAGTAAGTAACTTTATTAAGGTAATACGATAAAAGAAACACTACTATTCAAAGAGCTGAAACAGTAGAATCGTCCAAATGAAAAGCTGTTAATTACACATCTGAATTATTTTACCATGCCCATTTTATTTAACAGTCATCTAGCCAGAGCCAGTAAACGTTCTGTAAAAGGGCAAGAGAGTAAATATTTTAGGCTTCGTGAGCCACATGCAGTCTCAGTTACACACTCTGTGTTTGCTTGCTTGTTTTTACCTTTCTTTAAAAATGTCACAACCTGGGCCATCCCATGTCGTGATGATTAAGGCAGCTGGGTGCCACATGGCCAACTGCATGGTTCGAGTCCCAGCTACTTGAGAAGTATGCTCGGTGGCTGGCACTGTGGTCTAGTGGTTATAGCAGCCAGATCCCACATGGCTGACTGCATGGTTCAAGCCCCCAACTTAACAACTTGAGAGTCACATGGGTCACGTGTGGGTGTGTGCCCACGTCTTGAAAGAGGGAGAGATGAAGGAGAAGGGATTGCAGCATGCTTATACCCCACTGGGGGTTGCTATCTCCCTCCCTTTCTGTCTACCTCTCTAGCGAATCCATGCCCCCCCTCTAATGAAGGAGAGAAAAAAAGAAAAGCAGGCAGGGCTCGTGTACATGCATGCCCAGAATCCGGAAAGGAGGGAGGTGTGGGAGATGGGTGTACAGCTTGGAGTAGTGAAAGCTGCAGACCTAGACTCCCCTTGGCCAGCCTCTGGCAGTCCCAAATCTCTGAATCTGATTGTATGATTCTCATTTGCTTTACTCTTTTTTATGTTCTGTGAATGTTTAAAAGAGAGAGAGAGAGAGAGAGGTTTCCACATGTAAAGAGCTGGACATCACCACACTCTCCTAACAAATGGAAAAGTCAACCACCCTTCTTATGTCCACAAGAGAAGCGATATCATGGGGCAAACTGCTTCCCCCCCAAAATTGGGCAAATGGGCCAGTCCAGGGTATTAGGACATACCAGAGTGCAAACTTCCATGGGAACCAGTGCTGGGTAGGAAAATCTGAATTGTAGTTAATTATTGGAGACTAAGTATGAACAATTGTGAAAGTTAAAACTCCAGGGAAATTAGTCATGGAGGGGGCACACTTCTGTGAGTTTCAGCTCTACCTGGTTCTTTTTTGTTTTTCAAGGATTATTTAATTTTGTATTTATCATTATTATTTTTAATTTGACCAGAGAGGGGGAGGGGGAAGGCATGAGAGCAAGCTTCCATGTCCAGGACTTGAACCACAGCCAGCCATGTAGGAGTCTAGTGCCTTAACCACCATGCCACTTGCCAGCCCTCTACCTTGTTCTTACAATAAATATCAGAGAGAAAAATCCCCTTATGTTTCAAGCAAGGAGAGGAGAAAAAGAACCATCGTGAAGGACACCAGACCATGTCTCAACGAGGTCTGCACGGAGCGGGAAGTTACCCAGACCCTAACTGCTGGAGTTTATCATAACGTGGTCTACCTAGGAGAAGGGAAATAAAGTCAGGTGTCACTTAACGATGGAGATGTGTTCTGAGAAATGGGTCCTTTGGCAGTTTTGTCCTCAAGCAGTCATCAGTGTGTCCTTACACAGCCCTAGGTGGTATAGCCTACTACACACCTAGGCTGCAGCTCCCTACGGGGCCAGAGTTGTCCATGCAGTCCATCACTGACTGAAATGTCGTTACATGGCACGTGACCATAACCCAACTCTAGCCCACTTTCGCTCTTCTGTTCCACCTAAGAGGGGAGGAAAAACCTGAGAAATACGTCTGAAGTTCACAGTCCAGAGGCACCATCTCACTGTAAGAGTAATACTTGGTAACAGCGGATAGAACACTTGTCCGCACACACACTTAAAGTCCACATTTCTGAAGGCCTGTTGACACAGTTTTCCACAGATAGAAATAGGAAAGGAGAAAAGAAGGAGTAAACTGCACATTTAATTTGCTCTACAGTATATTAAATTATAGTATACTAGGAGGATGTTTTGACGGGAATATCTCCTTATATAAGGAGTGCTGAATTCTTTTTTTTTTAAATATTTATTTAATTGCATTTATTATTTTTTTTTTTTTAATTTGATTAGAGAGAGACAGAGAAGGGGAAAGCGAGAAAGCAAGCCACCGGGTCCAGGACTTGAACCGTAGTTGGCTATGTGGGAATCCAGCGCCCCTAACCACCATGCCACCTGCCGGCCCAAAACACACACACGAGACCAGCGTGAGATTTTTAGCCACCGGGTCCGGGACCCGAACCGCGGTCAACTACGTGGGAGTCCAGTGACATAGCCATTACGCTAACTGCTGGTTGCTAAGGAGTGTTGAATTCTTTATGATTTCATGAACACGTCTGAAGGAACAAGTAGATGGGGGTTTGAGAGAGTATTGCTCTCTCGGGGAAGGGCAGTTCGCGTCTCCAGCTTGTTTCTTCCTTTTCTCCAGCTGGTTCTCATTTAGGCTGACATGACTGAGCAATAAACCCAAGAAGCACTCTGGTAAATGTTTAGCAAATCAGAAGGTCACAAAACAATAATCTGGATATAGTAATTCTTCGGTGGATGTCTATTACATTATTACATGAACGAATATCCATATATAGGTGGCTAATACAGCTAAAAACATGTCGTCCTTGACTTTTTACAGTTCTCTCTGAACATAAACTAATTACCCCTATAGAATATGTTAAATACTGGCTTTGAGCCAAAAAACACAGATGGGTGTGTTCTGTGAGAGATTTTTCTAATAAATGACAAGACCCTTGTCCTTAAGTATTCTTCTGAACTAAGAAAAGCAGTGGTTTACTGTCGTTTACATAAAAGGTCCACACGTACGTAGGTGCTTGGTTCTCCGAATTGCCTCTCTTGAACTCCTCATAAGCAGCTCATTTGCTTCTCTTTTTCTTTTTCAACAGACTAAAAAAGAAGCACCCGAATGGTCTAAAAAACAAAAGATGAAGACCTAGTGTTTTGGTGGGAAGTACTTGCTATCCCATGATTTGATTAGCTTCCGAAGTTCATTTTCTGATGGAAAAGAAAGTTTATTTTAATCATGTACTTGACATGTTTAATTAATTAATGTAATGTTTATCCTAACGAGTGTTAACAAATTTCAGCATAATCAAAATGTATAAAGTGTCAACAGTAACATACTTTATATTTGGTTTTATCTATTTTGTTACAAAATAAATGTTATAAACTCTATGATTCAAATTTTGGAGCTTTTATAAATGTTCAGTGCATTTTAAGTGTGGTTTATAAATACTTTGGTCCATATATTTTAAGATAAATTACAAATTCAAATGCTGTAACACAAGTCCCGAGATACCTTACCCTTTCAAAAATAAACTATCCTTTGTTCTTTTTTTTTCTCTTTTTTTTTTTTTTTTTGGAGAGGTTTTTGCTATAGGGCGTGTGCGCTCACCAGACAGACAGAGAGAGACAGAGAGATAGAAAGTGAGAAATCGCCCCCCCCCCCCGAGAGGGGATGGCCACACCACAATCCCTTCTGCATTCTCCTCTCTGGATCTTGGGCACACACACACACACATAACCAACGTGAGTTTTAAGCCACCGGGTCCGGGAGTCAAACCGCGGTCGACTACATGGGAGTCCAGCGACATAGCCATTACACTAACTGCTGGTCCCAATAAACTATCCTTTGTAAGGTCTACAAGAAGGCACTTGAGATGCCCAATAGTGGTCAGACACCATGTAGGTGGATATGGATTGTTGATTCTTTCTTTGAATCCTGTTTTTTCATTGGCGAATTAAAAATTTGGTGGTGAGCCAGACACGTGGCACAGCAGTGAAGTGCTCCACCTGGAAAGCTGGATTCCACATGGCAGACTGCATCCTGACCCCAGCAACTTCAAAAACACACCCGGCACATGTGTATGTGTGTTTAAAATCCTGATGGGTTGGAGAAATGGAGGAAGAAGGATCGCAGAATAACAATATACCATTGGAGGGTATTTTCTCTCTCCCTCTTCTCTGTCTCCCTTTCTCTCTCCTCCCTAGTGCACATGTCCTCCGGCAGTAATTAAATAATTTGATGGAAAGTCAGTTGTTACATCAGTCATAACAGGCCACATGCAATATGGACTAAATTTCTGGTCAGTAAAATAAAAATCAATTGGATTTTTTTTTCTTCTCACCATTAGATATACTCTATTTCTCACTGACGTTTTGTTATTTAAAAGAAAGGCATCGGGACCCACAGATGGCCATGTTGGAGTTCCAACGCTTTAACCACCATAACCCCTGCTGGCCCCCCAGACTGTTCATTTCAGCTTAACACCTGTCTACTTGATGTCCCTACTTGGATACCCCATTGTGACCTCCAACTTGATGTATATGCAGCTGAACTCAACCAGGTGCCTCCAGTGTCCCCAGGGTAAGTGAATAGTACCATCACCCGCCTTCTCAGTGGCTCATACTACCAACCTAGAAATCAGTCCAGACCCTTCCCTCATTAACCTTCAGCATTCAGTCACTAAGCCCTGGCAGACTGCCTCAGATATATTCCTCCTCCTCGGGGCCAGCAGGTGATATAGTGGTTAAGGCACTGGACTCCCCCATGCCGACTGCAGTTTGAGTCCTGGACCCAGCTGCTTGACACTCACGCCAGGCGCGTGTGCATGCATTCTCAAAATCCTGAGATGAGAATGGAGAAGATGGGATTTAGATTGGCTGTCCCCCCGGGAGAAAAGTGATTTCTCGCTTTTTGTCTCTTTTTTGTATCTCTGTTTCTCCAGCAAGCTCACATACCTATTGCCAAACCACAGATAAGGGGAAGACTACTATAAAATATTTTTTTAATTTTATTTATATATTTTAATTTGACCAGAGAGGGACAGAGTGAGGGAGACAGAGAAAGTGAGAAAGCAAGCTGCCAGGTCCAGGATTTGAACCTTGGTCAGCCATTTGGGAGTCCAATGCCCCTTACCACCATGCCACCTGCCAGTCCCACTATAAAATATTTTTAAATAGAGGGAAAAAGTGGGACCAGCAGTTGGTGTAATGGCTATGTTGCTGGACTCCCATGTAGTTGAGCATGGTTTGAGTCCTGGACCCAGTGGCTTAAACTCACACAGGGCATGTGTGTGTGCATGTCCAATATCCTGAGGGGAGAATGAAGGAGAAGGGATTGTGGTGTGGCCATCCCCCCTGGGGTGGTTTCTTGCTTTCTGTCTCTCTGTCTTTCTGGTGAGCATGTGCCCTATAGCAAAAACCTCTCCAAAATAATAATAGAGGGGGAAAAAAATCACAAGTTCTTGCTACTACATATCAAGTATTTTTATTTCCTTTCCTTTTCCAGAAGACACTTTTCAGAGGGAGGGAGAGAGAGAACGCACCTTCCCTTATCCCAAATGGGTTATGCTTATGCCACAATCCCTTCTCCATTTCTCTATCCTGTTGGGATTTGGGACATGAAAGAACATGGTCCTATAAACAAATAAATGTATACATACAATACATGCATACATACATACATACATACAAAAGAAAAAAGAACATAGACCTAGCATGATTTCTAGGCCACTAGTGCCAGGATTCAAACCATGGTTGGCCATGTGGGATCCAGCTCAACCACTGCACAGCCCAGCAAGTTTATTTATTTATTTACTTTGGTCCCTCCCCGCATACTTTTCAGAAAGAGACAGAGAGGGTCCAGCAGGTGGCATGGTAGTTAAGGCACTGACTCCCACATAGTTGACCACAGTCCTAGACCTGTCACCTGAAACTCACACGGTTGTTTGTGTGTGCATTCCCAGAATCCTGAGAGAATGGAGAAGGGATTGAATCATGGCCATCCTCCCAAGGGGTGATTTCTCACCTTTCTGTCCCATCTCTCCAATAAGCACATGCACCCTATAGCAAACTCTCTCAAAAAAAAAGAAAAAAGGAAAGAAAGAAATGAAGAAAGCAGCCCTCAATAGGACATGGTCATGCTGAATATGTTTCTGTCTTCACCCTATCAGGATTTTGAATTCATATGTACACATGCCTGGAATGTTTTTCAAGCCACTAGAGCCAGGACTTGAACAAAGGTTGGCCATGTGGGATTTGGCACCCTTAATCACAAGGCCACAGGGCTGACCTCAAATAAGTTGATTTTTTCTTTATTTTTTTTAAGGATTTATTTATTTATTTATTCATTCATTCATTCATTCATTCATTCATTCATTTTAATTTAACCAGAGAGAGACACACACAGAGAGGAAAGTGAGAAAGCAAGCCACCAGGTCCAGGACTTGAACCCTGGTCAGCCATGTGGGACTGTCCAGCGCCTTAACCACCACACCACCTGCTGGTCCCACTTTCTTTATTTTTTTTTCAGAGAGAAATGTTTACTATAGGGTATGTATGCTCACTGGAAAGAAAGACAGAAGAAACACATACCCCCCCGGGACGGGGGGTATGGCCACACCACAATCCCTTCTCCATCTCCTCTGGGGATTTTGGGCATGTACACACATGGGCCTGGCATGAGCTTAAGCCACCAGGTCCAGGATGACTTGAACTGCAAGCAGGTACGTGGGAGTTCAGCAACGTAACCATTATGCCATCTGCTGCTTGAAAAGGTGCACGTGCGTGTGTGCCTTAAATCCCGAGAGGAGAATGGAAGAGAAGGGATTGCAGCATGGCCATTCCCCCCAGGAACTCTCTCTCTCTCTCTCTCTCTCTAGAGCTTACACACCCTATAACAACCAAACCAAAAAATTCTGAAATGTTCAAATACCTGTAAATTATTATAGTATGAATTTAGAATTGGAATAGAAAAAGTATTTCCAGTCCCCATAATGAAAAAGGCATTGCCACATCATTGTATATTCATTTTACAGAGGATACATTAGTATGTCATAGATTTTGTTTAAAGTTCCTTTAAAATTCTTTTAGTGTATTGTAGATACCCTATCTGTGGGGCTAACAGGTGGTATAGTGGTTAAAGTGCTAGACTCCCACATGACCGACAGCAGTTTGAGTCCCAAACCTGGTGCTTGCTTTCTCACTTTTCCTTTCTCTCTCTCTCTCTCTCTCTAAAGCCCTCTGGTATTTAATAATAATAATAATAATAGCAAATGGAATTAAACAAATAAATAAATTCTTCAAAAAATATATTCTACCTGTTATGGTTAAAAATTATATTATGTTGGGACCAGCAGGTGGCATAATGGTTACGTCACTGGCCTCCCCATAGAAAACCACCATTTGAGTCATGGACCAGGTAGCTTAAAACTCACTCCGGAGGCCGGCAGGTGACGTGGGAGTTAAATGCTCTGGACTCCCACATGGCCAACTGTGGTTCAAGTTCTGGACTTGGCAGCCTGCTTTCTCACTTTCTGTCTCTCTCCCCCTCTCACTGTGTCCTCCTCTGGTCAAATTTAAATAAATAAATCAATAAAATTAAGTAAAACAAATTTTTAAGAAAATAAAGCTCACCCTGGGTACATGTGCATGCGTACCCAAGATCCTGAGAAGAGAAGGGATTGCAACATGGCCATTCCCCCCGGGACTGATTTCTCGCTTGTTTCTGTTTCTCTCTGGTGGGCACACACACCCTACAGCCTGATTTCTCGCTTGTCTCTGTTTCTCTCTGGTGGGCATACACACCCTACAGCAAGTCTCTCTTTTAAAAAATCATATTATTGCATCATAATTTGAATACAAGCTAGAATTTTTTATGTATTTTAAATGTAAAGTGTCTAAAATAAACTGTTAATGTGAACTTACTCTTCTAGTATTATGCTCATTTCAGCTACTGCAGTTTGTTTTGACGTGGTATTGTGATTGCCAAACTTTTGGGACAAATATATAACTTTCCTCAGATTCTTTAATGTTATTGTTTTATGAAAAGGTTAAAAAATACTCCCTGCAAAAGCTGCATCGAAAGAATTTTTCTTAAATGTTGGAGCACTTTTAGAAAGAAAAGTGAGGTGGGGGCAGCAGATGCCATGGTGGTTAAGGGTGCTGGGCTCCCACATGGCCAACCGCGGTTCAAGTCCCAGACCTGGGGGCTTGCTTTCTCACTTTCTCTCTCTCTTTTTCCTCTCTCTCTCTCTCTCTCTCTCTCTCTCCCTCTCTGTTCAAGTTAAAATGAATAAATAAAGTTAAATAAGAAAAGGGGGAGCCGCCGTGCTCTGGTGGTTAAAGTCGCTGGAGGCGATCCCACATGGCTTCCACACAGAGACAGACCCCACCTCCATAGG